CACTACCATGCTGAATCAGAAAATTAAGAAAAGAAATGTAATTTTTCATCTTAGTATACTATGGGAATAGAGACTGTTAACCCAGCTCATACAGAATATTTTCTCGAAGTTACTAAGAATCACTGACTTGCACTGTCATAAATTTTTCTCATGAAGCCTACTTCTTTCTTAAAAGAAGTTTATATACTAATTTCATTAGAAACTTGCCTAAGAAAATATCTGACATTCATGAGAATCATCAGCATCTTGATTTAAATGACTAGGAAACTAAGAACCATTGCTTTGTAAATATGTTTCTCTTTGACTCAAAAGTTTCTTCTTTATTATATTCTAAATGAACAACTAACCGTCCATAAGTGTACTGATGAACCAGTGTTATATTTTAACTTATTGTTTTACATATTAAGTGACTATGAGAAGAAAGTCATGTTTTCTCCTAAATGCTGATTTTTCAAGTAGAATTTTACTAACACATACATGTGTTTATTGCACTTTTTGATAAAATCTCAAAGGCTGAAATGAGTGTTTCATTACCAAATTTGTACTTTCCGACTTCATTTTACTGAAACGGAAACATTCATAAGTTATTGCGAAGAAACATTTGTACATGTTGTGCTTTTTGAATAATTTTCATACCACTTGATTATTTTTGAAAATTTGTTTCCTAGTCCTGTGCTAATATATTGCTGATTTTCGCTTTTTCATGAGACTTGTAAAATTAATGATCATACTATTTGAAAAAAATATATATATTCTTAGCTGAAGGAATTTTTATATTCTAAATAGGGAAAAAGATGACAAAGTTTCACTTGCGTGACTTAACATTAATTCCATGTCCAGACATCCTTTCTTTTTAGATGTTTTACACAAATATGGCTCTATAGTGAATTTAAAATATTACATTACAATGTGGATATTCTTCTCTGTAGTTAAAAATTCTGTAGCTTGTTAAAAAATTATGGCTGTGTTAAGTTCAAATATAGCAGTGTTTATGAAGGTCTGCGGTAAATGGTGGGATCACATTAAGCGGGTGAAGTTTTCACGTCATAGAAATCAAAATTTAACGTATGTTCGGTGATTTAAATACAATGTATACAAGAAAATCCAAGATACTTTTGTAAAATATTTCCAAGAGTCAATCTGTGTTAGTAATATATCTGAAACCTCCTGCTCAATGAAAAGGAGTGTTCTGAATATATTCATGTAAATGTCTGTAGTGTAAAATAATAAGAAATGAAATGCTGTTGGTACGTATTAAACTTGGGTAGACAATAATAAGAATTTCGTATTGTTTCGTATGTATTTGAACTAAACTGAATAGAGATGTCCATATATTAGTTCAAGTAGATTTTATGTTGCGAAAATTTATTATTTCTGAATTAGTAAGGTTTAATTCAAAGTCAGTAGATCTTTAAAAAAGTCCGTATAAGACTGTATTTATTTTTAGGGAAAACAAAAAAAAAAAAAAAAAAAGAAAAGAAAAAAAAAAAAAAAAGAATCAGAAATATTAACAGGGATATGTTTTAAAAACATGACAAAGGTTAAATGTAAGGCAAAATGTTCTAAATGGAAAATAGAAAGTTTAAAATTTACATTTTTTGACACATTTCGTGAATCCTTTGAATAAGAATGAGATGTGTAAAAGAGAATCCGCGACGTTTTGTGTAGTTTTTCAAAACAGTTAGCATAATACATTAGAAGAGAAAGTTCGGAATATCACCTGTTAAGTGTTAGTTAGTATAATACGTTAGAAAAAAGTGTCGGAATACCCGTTAAGTGTTAATAGTAGTAATACATTAAGAGAAAGTTTTGTATATCTTAAGTATTAGTAGCGTAAAAAAATAAGAAGAAATATAATATGCTAAGTAAGCTATATGGAAGGAACATCGTACTTATTGGTTTAAATTTGCAGAAAATATTATCCATGAAAGCCTCTAGAGGGAAATTATATGCGTGTAAGTTCCAGCTTAAATTTCATAGACAGAGAAATATGTAACTTTACGCTTCGAGAAATGGAGGTGTAACATCAATAAGTATTTAAAACATTAAGAAAAACCTTAAGAGGAAAATAAAAGAAAGAAAAAAAAAGAAATGAGAGAAGAAAATTCTTCATATATTTAAAAAAATACTTTTATATAAAAGAAAAAATTGAAAATTACTTCTTGAAGTAAAATATAGGAAAAAAGACAGAGTTCGTGAAAAAGAAAGAAATAAAAAACCGTATGAAAATAAGTACAGCTATTGTAAAACAAATAAAGTGAAAAATGTAAAACACGGAAAGGAAAGATTAAACTGAAGGCAAAAAACCTTTTGTAAAATAAAAAGAGAAAAAAAATTAAATTGTGAAAACGTATTACCTTTATAAAATCTATTACTTTTGCAAGTTAAGCGTAGGGGAAAAGAATGTAAAACTTTAAAATGTGGAAAAAAAGAAAAGAAAATCTTATGTTTGTATATAAAAAATATGGTGTGAAAATTAGTACATTTAATTTAACGGCGAGAAGAAAAAGAAAATTACGTAAATTTTGCTTGTAAGATAAAGAAATGGGAAATTTAAAATATCTCAATCTAAAATAGAAACAAAATAAATTTAAAGTCATGAATTCATTCATTATCGAGGATGTACAAAAGTCTGAGCAAGCTGGAACAGAATTGTCTATGTGCAATCCATCAGCCTCATGCTGGTTTCCGCTGCACAAAGATGAACAAAGAGGAAAGATACGATCAAATAATAATCAAATAATAGGATTCAAAAAAGCACGGCTTTTGTGTTATCGTCCAAGTTTCCCATGCTATAGATGGCCAAATTCATGAAATTTACATGCAAATACATGGACTTAATTATTAAATTATTAATTATTAAATATATTAATTTATTAAGTTAAATAGTATAATCAATTAAAAATAATGGTTAATAACTTCGTCAGGATCCACGAGTACCAATCAGAATGCACTATGGGTAAGACTACTGCCCTCTAACGGTCGTTGCTGAACTAAAAAAAATGCACTAGAAACTTCGATCATGTTGCATGTTCTATCGTGGGGGATTTTCGTTAATCGATAAGCGCGGACATGAAACCGGATTACAACACAAACAGGATGAAACATGTGGCTGACGTAGCAATAGTAATCCGAGCTGATAAAGCATGATGACGTCACGAACAAGAAGCAGTGTGTCCGTGCTTGAGCCACGGGGTTGATGACGTAGCAACATCGCGTGCTCCTCCGTAGATCCCCCTCTCCTAGCGCCCCAGCGCCCTGTGGCTCCAAAGTGACATTTTCTACCTACTTACATCCATTCTACCTACTTACATACTGAGAAAGTTAATAAAGAGGCACAATGATCCATGTAAGGACGATAGTGGGGGTCTGACCATAAATAAACTCGGTCAAATCGTAATTTGAGTTATGACAAAGTCCTAGTAACCTTGACAACCCAAGTCTAAAAACCGTGATTATCTTGGAGCAACTCGTAACTTGCTGCACAGAATGTGGCTGGATGCAGGCTTCTCTTTTAAAATGGCTTTAATATAACAGTAGCTCCCTGAACAATCAGAAAATTAATGAATAACAATTTTTTCTGTATCGCTACATACCTCGGGATACGTAGATCTTCGATTACCGGAAGTGCTGAGACAAAATTGTGCCAGTCAAGAGATATCTATCTGGGATATATAAGATCATGCCAATCAATCTAAAGTAACCATAACTTTTTGTCTAATATTTTAGCTCCGGTAACGACTGGCCCAGCCAACCCTAGGAGGTCGTAAATGTGAATTATATGCGACAACACTGCTCGTTTGGAGTTTGTGCTGCGAGATTCAATGGACACTTTGAAGGAAAATGAATCACTATCTTCCACTGTATTCGTAAAGCTTTGCAACCTTTTCTTCGACTGAATGATGGAAAGGATTATTTCAGAACACCTTTTCATTTAACTTAGGGTTATTAGCATGCCATTTGCGTAGTTTTATTCCAAACGTTTAAATAACTATATCAACTCTGTCTGAACACCTAGAGACCAAGCCTTGAGTCGAGTCTGAAACGACCGGCAGGACACTGTCCATGTAGAAGTCGATTAAAACTATGGACAGGGATAGAGGAAAATATTTTCCTTCATCAAAAGCTGTCTGATGATGTGTCCGCTGGGCTAAGAATGGAGCACATGCTGTTCCATTCGTAACAGTTTGAAGAGTGTAGGTCTTAAACGGAGAGTCAATACCTTTCATTTAGATAATTCTTTAAAGACAGATTTGGGATTTGTCAGTTTCAGTTTGTCGAAACATTTTTTCCATGCCCCCAATAAAGGCATAGGGGGGTTTTCTATGCCCGAACCTGGTATAAAAAGTCTGGTTGTATGACAACTTCCTTCAGAAGAATGGCCATTGAGGGACTGATTTCTAGTAAATTTTGCACTAGCGTTGATGACCACGCGAAATCGAGTGGTATTCTTGTTAGGTCTGTAGACCCTTGATGAAGTAGATAGTAAACTACTTCTGAACTCATTTATCTTTTAGTCTCAACATATGATGCAAACTTTCATATTCTGGAATAAACTCAATATATAACGTTTTCATTGCTGACTTCTCCAGCCTCTCTCCCCCCATATTAAAAAGAACACAGAGTCGACTCCGTGAATAGATTTTCCACTCAAATGGCGCAGTCGCTTTTACATGGGAGAAAGCGAAATATTACAAAGGACAAACATCGGATCCCTTGAACAAAATTTAGTAGCCCCCATATGAAAGAGGCGGCTCCTAAATTCTATTCACGGGAATTCTTATAAATTTCGATAAAGGGAGTCAGTTCTATCATGAGTGGTTTGAAAATTGTTAAGGAAAAGTAATAAAAAAGGCGTTTCTAATATACACTATTTTAATGCAAAATACAAAGCCACGTTTAAATTGATCTGATTTTCTTTGTGCATCAATTTATTGTGTGCATAAATGATAGACGTGTTTGCTTACTGTCAAAAAAGACTAAATAAGAATAAAATTAAATTTTCTTGAAAATTTTCATATTTATTTATTTATCGGAATTTTCACGAAAATATTCTGTCTTATACAATTTATTTTTTCATTAGAAGAATAAAACTTTTAACAGATCAGGTTGAAGTACGAACTCTTAGTTGAAGTTTATAGCGCCAAACATAAAAAATTACACAGTGATGTAATGGAAGAAGATACTTGTATTTTGTGCACTGCGTGGCAGTTTTCTTTTAGCTTGCAAATTTTTCAGTTTTCTACCTAAAAAACAAAGAAAGAATAAACGTCATTAAAATATTTTTTCCAAATCTTGCTGTAGAAGATTTATCATACATACTGGCTTCTTCTGCATTAAAGATTTGGACTGTAATTTACTTAGATATATACAAGCTATGTACTAGTCACTTACTAGATATCATTTACTTAGCTATAATACAGGCTTCTACATACTTCGAAATTTTATAAAATATTTCTTTGCTACCATAAACTACCTATTAATGTAGCTACGTATTAATGTACAGTCAGAAATAATGAAATATTAAATTAAAATGCTAGGGTTTTCTTAACCTTTCTTAACGACTTGAGTTATGATTTCACTCAAAAGCTCAGAAATGCCAGACCCAGACTCTGGAGAGCTGCGACTGAAATAAGCTCTGAAATTATGTCAGAAATTATAGTATGATATTGCAGAGTCATTAGTTTTGTTGAAGTAAGAAACGTGAAAAATGTGTAATGCCCTCGCCAGGATTCAAAATCCGGATTACCCGTCTGCTAGCCGGTCGTGCTTCTATTAAGGCATCTTACAATATTAGACAAGCGTGCAGTATGACACTGTGACATAGACGTCACATAGTGACTTCGCTTAAACACTGCAATGTGATCTGACATAAACGTCATGCAAACTTACTTACTTCCTAGTATGACGTTGCAAAAATGAATATGTCCGCTTCTTATGGTGAGATTGTTCCCCTTTTTTATGTAACGTTGCGCGATATCACGTAAACTGCATGTGACGCTGCAACAGCGTTACGTCAATATTACAATGATTTTGCCTCCCGTCATGAAGAAAAAGCGCTTGCATAATTTTGGTACCACGTATTATAAATTATCCAGTATTTTGGTTTAGATTATAATGAATCACTATCTAGTTTAGTTGCTGAGAGAGAAAGCCAGACAATTATTTATTCTAAATATTACACAGCAGAAAGGAGTATTTGTTACAAAATGACTTACCAGATTTAGGCACAATATAGAGCTGGAATACTTTGCTAACCATGCCATGAATATTGGAAGCAGAACATCTGTATTCACCGCTGTCATTTCGTCTTGTCTCCTTGAAGACTAAAAGTGTTCCTTTAGGATGAAGGGCGGTGAAAATTCTGTTGAATCCCATAGATGAAACTTCTAAATCGTTCTAGGGAACAACAAAGAATGCTTGATTCAAAATAAGTATAAGTGAAAATAAATATACAGTGAGGATGGATTGAACATAAATGTTACTTTAAGCTGCCATGCATAAGCTACATGACTGGGCAAGTTCAAAATTTAAAATTTTTATTTTTAATCATTTACGCTAAAATAGTCAGTTCTCTTTATGCAATTAGCATCAGAAATTTAATATGGCCTTTCAAATTTAATCAGTCTATCATTGAGTAATAAACCGGTTTAAACCCTTCTAAGAGCAATAATGCAGTTCATATTCCTATACTTTCAACTTTGAATATATATATGTATAAAATGTATTTAAATTAAAATACATTTAATTTAAAACATAGTCGACTGATATTTTTATGGAAACTTACAGGTTCAAGTGGGCGGAATATCAGAATTTCGCTATTGGTTGTGTAGATGTAGTTTCACCTCACTAACTGTACAACTCGCCCGAATTTTTAGCCATAAAATCCCAGGGAACAGTTCGAGAGTCTCCTATTCCTCTTTCCATACCACCAAATAGCTCGATAGAATTTTTGGCTTGCCAGTATTTGAAGTTAATCTATGCTACACAGACTCTAACCCGAGCCCATCGATACGACACCTAGCGTCGCTAACGACTGTACCGAACAAGGTGGTTTGAAAGCTTACGGGATTATTGCAATTGACGCACTGGGGAAACAGTGTAGCACCGGGTGCCTGGGTCAAGGACCCTACCCTTGTAGAATAGATATGTTATTTCGAATACTTTCATGAGTAACTAGTATATATTTAGAACTTTATATATATATAATTAAATCATGTTTTTTTTAACATTTTTTAAAGTTACAAGAATAGATATAAGAGATAAATTAAAAGATAAATTTCTAAAAAGACTAAAGTGTGCGTCAAGTTTCAATAAACCTGAAGTGCTATCTGGGAACGCTGAGAAAGGAGGAATGAGCCGGCTATAGCCTGATACAGAAAAAACATTCATAACATACATATAAATAATAGGCTGAGTAGTGTGAGCCTCTTGGTCCACTAATAATAATTAAACCTTAAATCTACAACTGTTAGTTTGGAATGTAGTCCAAACTTCAGTACATTTTGAATAGTTCCACGCAATTCCCATCGTTTTAATACGTCAAAGATAAGTTGAATGTTTTGCGTCTAGGATTTTTTTTTATATTTTGAATACTTTTTTCGTCTTTAAAGTCGTGAATAATTAAATTTCGAACAGAACTTGACGTTAATTTGCAGCTTCCTCACATGTTTACTTCAGATTTGAAACTGTTAATACATTTTGCTAAACAAGTAAAAATTCCAAATGCAGACCATAATTTGAGTGATGTAGTTTTATATGAAATAAAAAAATGTGATACGAAACATTGTCTTCGGAAATATCTCGACAGAACTGTCGAGTGTCTGAATAATTATGTGAGTTATTGCTTAACACTTTTAAAATGAACTATTTTATTGCGACGAATATTTTAATGATATTTATTTTGTACCAAGAAAGGCTTAAATCAGAGAAAAAATAATATATTAGGAAAAAATGTGGAGTCTATGTTTCAATAGTTTGTAAAAGATGCATGCAAAACTCTATGCATATAAATTTCAAATACACAAGTATGAGTCAGTGCATACAATTATGTCTTATAAACGTGCTCGATTTAGGAAATTGTTCCAAGATGATCCGGAAGCTACTAACTCAAACGTTAGTTTGAGCAACGATTCAACACTCTGCCAGGATTAACTCACATGAACATGAAAATCACAATTTAACTAACATGAACATGAATATCATAATTTAACTCACAAGGAAAGACATCTGTTATTTAAAACCATTTTTAGTTGCAGCTGCATTAAATGCAATTAAAGGATTATCGTTGAGGAATAAGGAACCTAGGAAATTAAATAAAACAGAATTGAAATGGTAATATTTAATGAATATGAAAGAAAAATGTATGAAACATTATATCTTGTAATTGATTAGACATTAGAAAAATTTATATATGTAGCCGACTTAATCAACTGTCCATATTCAGCCGAAGAATATTAAACTATCGAATGATATTAAACAAGGTAAAAACTAATCTTCGCAAATGAAAACGTAATTCCAAGGGAATATCCCACATTTGGAATAAAGCAAATTCAGAAACTATCAAAAGACGGGAACATAAATATATAAAAAGAGCTGAAGAAACAAAATTAAGAGACAAAATGGTTTAGAAGCAAGTTACACTGATGAAACAGAGGAACCCAATTTTTGAAATAAGGAAGTTTAATGATAGTTAAAAGTGTACATCGGGTCACTTCCCAAATGTTAGCTTCATAAAAAAGATTATTAGAGGAAATTCAAGGAAACGCACGTTATTTGAAATCAGAGAATTTTTACCTAAAGCGATGCCTAAAAGGGAAATTTCACAAATGAAATCTGACAATGAATAAGAGTACTGATAATTAAAAAAAATATTCCAGTTATCGAACTAAATGGAATTTTTAAGATTTGGTAAACGACTTCAGTATAGTTCATACAGCTGTAGCCAAGTTCATCCCATAAGATTAGGAATAAATTAAGTTAAACTAAAGATTAAAGTTTAACATCAAGGTGCAAACATATAATCCTGTTACATAGTATATAATCAAACAATTTTGATCAACGATTATTATAATTTAATAATTTGATAGTTCCAGCTACAACCTACACAGCTTTGAAAGTTAATTTTTAAAATATTTCATGAAGATAGGAAACTGTTGAAATATTCTTTTTTCCTATGTTTTCATAAAACAATGCTGTATATAGTTTTATTTTCCCCTCCTTCCCTATTGAGAAAAGCAAAAACATTATTCACTATTAGGCGGTTCACAAAAGATTATTCTGTATCTAAGTACGTAATATTACTGTCATAAACATATTTATTTAAAATTTATAAGCTTGATCAGTTATATATTTTTGCGTGCGTTCGGGTTCGTAATAGATTGAACGCGCAAGTCCGATAAAAAGTTAATAAAATTTAGTCTTATCACAAGAAATGTAACAAAACGCTGGATTTTTCCTCAATGATATTCGTACAATATCCCAATGTCACGCAATATAATCAGTAGCTATACTTTAAAGTAATAAAACGTTAAATAGAACGCAATCCACAGCGCAAAGAAAGTTAATCCGATCAACAAAATTACAGCATTGAAGTAAACAACAACTGAGATGAGATGTTCTCCGTCGGGTTTTTTATAGCTTTAAATCGGTCGCGTGAGATCAAGAAGCAGAAATTCTCTAATAATTTCGAGATTTCCGGAAAGTAAAAGAGTAGAATTACGGTTACAGTTGACACAGTAGTCAATTACATTTAATCAATTTAAGCATGAATTACGAACTATCTATTTATTAAATGTTTAGTGCAAGTGCTACTATATTTTTACTTTCTCTTAAAATATGTCTCGTGCTGCATTGCATGGGGGAATAAAACAATTTTAATTAGAAGTCCATTAAAAATGTCTAACTAAATACAAAATTCTTAACACTGCCCCCTTCCCAAGAACTGCACGCCCCGGGCAGTACTGTCCCTGAACAAGAAGGCATACTTATAACTAAAGAATTATTTGAATAATAGACCTTACAATACAATAACAAATAAAATAACAATAATTGCAATAAGTAACTTAAACAAATCAAATACTAAATACAAATCAAATCAAATACAAATTTAGAAACAAAAAGGATCATGGTCTTATACTATTTACATTATATATACACTACGTATTATGGCCATAGTAAGGAGCTAACCTGTCGTAATGAACGACTTTAGGCTTAGAGTTTGGTGACTTATAGATCCGAACCACGACATCGTTCAACCTGTTTAGGACTGTGCACAGGCCATCCCAAGGTGACTGTAGTTTAGGACAGAGTCCTTTCCGTCGAGTCAAATTCCACAACCACGCACGCCTTGTCTCCTTCGTTGATTCGATGTCTAGTAGCTCTCGTGTCGCATCGGGTCTTCACATTTTCCGTCGTCAAGTTGACTCGCTCTAGCGCAAAATTGTGCATCACTTCAAATTGGGCCTGAATGTATTCTTCAGGCGACGAAGGCGCATCCGGAGAGCAACAAAAACGAGAGATCACAGATGAAGGTCACGACCGATGGGCATCTGGGATGGAGAATAGCCGGTAGTCTCATGTTTCTCTTCGACCCTAGTATGCTTTCGGCAGCTCTCTGAGCAGGGTCTCTCTGAGCAGACGAGGCGTCGGCGTTTCCTGGTGAGAATCCCTTCTGATGATGGATAGTTACGCCTTCTGATGCTGAAAGCAGTTTGTTGTTTTTGAAGTCCAAGCATATATTATATTTCCTTAATATATATCCGAGTACATATCCGAGTACGCAAGGATCTGTAATATCTGCCACATATGCCGTGTGATAGTAGGCGGCAATTCCAAACGTGATGTTCCTTTTTAACTTCCCATCTACGTCGATTTTATCACCAGACGCAGTCTGGAGGGTAACACTTAATGGCGTCCAAATGAGTTTAAATTGTTTAGCTAAATCTTTCTGAATGATGGTAACATTAGCTCCTGTGTCAATAATCATACTGCAAGGAACACCATCGATATGCCCATTGATGGATAGTTCATTACTGTTGCCACTCACTGCAGATATCTTACACGCTTTAAAACGGGGGTTCTTCCCTATCATTTAAATTCTGCTCCGCGATATGGTCATTAATTTGTTTCCTGCGTCGATGCTGAGAAATGGTTTTATTTTCGTGCTCTGAAGTGTTCTGCAGTTTTGTACGTGGCCTTCAGCTCCGCAGGTCCAGCACTTTGGCTTCTTCTCACTCCATTTTCGTCTCGTGGCATATTGCCTGTTTAAATCGTCTGTCTTATTTTCCTTGCTCTGGGGTTTCCAGCAGTTCCTCTGTACGTGGCCTTCAACACCGCAGTTTCAGCACTTTAGGATTGGTTTCTTTCACTCCTGTTCCGTCTCAAGGCATTAACTTTTCTGATAAAATCATCTGTTTTATTTTCCGTGACCTGGGGTGTTCTGCAATTCCGTCGTATGTGGAATTTGGGTGAGTAAAAGGAAAGCCTGCATGCCTGAGAAGAGAAGGGTAAGAATGTAGAAAGGAGAATTGTCAGGAAAAATCAGAGTTAGTAAGAAAGGAGTAAAAAATCATTGGGAATGCGACATAAAATGAAACTTATCTGTGAAGAGCTGGATGAGTGGGAGGAGTCTTGATTCTGGCATCCAATCAGAGCTGGATGAATGAACTTGAAGAATAATATTTTCAAGTTCAGAGAAGGCTAACATAATTTGCATGGCTTGCAGTTCTAAGATTAATTTTTCAACACGAGAATTAACAGTTCGCATTCTTGTACAATTGACAGGATATTTTGTAAAAACTGAAGATTATTTTGGTTCTTGAAAACATCAAGAATAGGGTCAATTTTTTCCTTCTTGTGTAATATTTTTCTTGAGAGCTTCTCTGTTAATGGTGGAATGCTTTTTATGAACGTAGAAAAGTCGACTTCAGATATTGTAGGTGCCGAATTTCTAACCTCTTGTTTCTTTTTCATGTCAGAAAGTCTTTTCTGAAATTCAGGACATCCTGAGTATGAACTTACATGGTTTTGCTCACAGTTAATGCACTTGGGTTCTTGACTTCCTCTTGATTTGAGTGACTTTTCTTGACGTTACTTTTTCTTGACTTGAGCTTACAAGTAGAAATTCTGTGTGATCCTCCGCATTTGCAACATCTTTCATCCTTAAAACATCCGTGTTGAGTATGCGCAAACCGCTGGCATTTATAGCACTGGGTTGGGCGTTCAGTAGAAACCTGGAAACTACAAATATTATTCACATTCAAAATTGCATTTCCTTCTTTAAATTTTTTAAGTTTGATAAAATAGAGAGGCAGTCTATCGGTTCCATTTTCAGTTTTCCTAGTAAATTGTTTCACTTTCGGTACTAGAAATTTCCTCGGGGCCAAGATTTGAAAAACATGATTTTCTGTTATTGTGGCTGGTAAGGTTTTGATGATTACTTTAACAGCTCATTCATTTTCCATTTAGTATTAAGGTTATTCGATTCCAGAAATTGTGCTAATTTACGATAATCTTCAACGGAATTTTTTAAAGATAAAGATTGATCATCTGCGTAATTGAGCTTCAAATTCATTTACACATACTTTTTGTAAGAAGTTTCCAGAAAAATCCAGATTATATTAGTATCATAAAGAACAATCGGGGGAATTTTGCTTGGCTGTGCAGTAGAATTCACATCAGTTGTTTCGGAGATATCACTGTCAGTTAGAGCAGCAAACTTGTTACTTGGCGGGATTTCGTTGACTTCAGGTTTATGTGTAGGCTTCTTGACCGGGCTTTTAAGAAATTTCCATTCGTTATTGTCGTCACTTAGTCTATCAGAAATAGTTCTTGCGAATTTCTTTTTCTGCGCATCAATAGCTCCTTTACAGAGGTTTGGAAAAACTGTTTGTAGATGTTCTGCCGTAACCTGAGAAATCGATTTCATTACTTAGTTTCTGCATATTTATTTCAACTTCTTCATTCAAGTCTGCTTGAGAGAAACTTGATCGATTAGGTTGTCGTCAGCTTTTATTACTTCAGAGTTAGGCGTAACCCAAGGGATGGTACTCTTTCCTTAGCCATCAATTCAGAGTAAACTCCAACTGAGATGAGATGACATGACATGACTTTATTATGCCGAGAGTAGCTTGGTAATTAATTAGCTGTGTTCCGGCTCATTTCAAGTAAAATTAACATGCAAGTATAAGAAATACATAATCTAAAAATACAAAATTTATAAAAGAAAGGGACAAAAACAGCAAATTTGCTTAATAAATTAGTGACTTGCGAATCCGACTTTAAAGTAATGCCCGAAGTCATTAATTTAGCATCCGCAGTTTTTGAAGCAGCAGTAACGTCAGGAGTCGATTTTCTAGGCTTTTCAACTTTCTTTTTAAATTCATTGGGCGGCTCGAAAGTAGTCTTTTCATCTTTTCTAGTATTACTAACTTTTGGAAAAATTTCGCAACCTTTATAATGAGATGAGATGGTCTCCGTCCGGCTTTATACAGCTTTGAATCGGTCGCATGAGATTCTAGCAATTTCTGCTTCTCGAGATTTCTGGAAAGCAAAAGAGTAGAAATACGGTTACAGCTAACACAGTAGTCAATTACATTTATTCAGCTTAAATATTAGACGTAGAGTCATTAGGTTATTAGCGGGATGTAATGTTAAATGCACGTGCTCCTGTAATTTTACTTTTCCGGCGTAGCTTTATTTTAAAATATGTCTCGTGCTGCTTTGCACGGGAAAATAAAACAATTTTAGTTAGAATTCTAAAATTATCTAACTAAATACAATATGACTTCAATTAGATATACTACAGATAATGTCAAGTCACTTAGTTAAGTAATGTATAATTTTAATTTAAAAATAAATTTAAATACTATAAATAGCATGATAAATGAAATTTACTGTGGACGACAGATATTTCGGCAGCATAATTAAATATGAAGCAAAAAATGGAAACACTGAATTCCAATTCTAATACAGGAATTTCTAACATAAGAAAACTCATCTCTAAAACAAGTCAACAATCTTATACCTTATCATACCATGTATGCGCTATAGGCGGTCTACCATTAGCTGAACACAGAATCTCTAAAGACGCTCCTTCTTCACCAGCAACGGTTTCATAGTCCTTTTCGAACCATGGACGCTCTATAAAGATACATTTTAGATGGAATCAACAAAGTTTTCTGTATAATTTGATGCATAAAAAAGAATATTTTATCAGTTCCATAGTACTGGCAATAGTCTAAAATATCGAGCGTATTATAAACAAATGACTTTTATAAAACTAAATTTAAAAATTACTGCATAAGTTTTTAGTACGACTTTTGGGAATATGTGGGATCTAGTTCTCTTCGCTGTCATAAAATGTAACTACATCTGCCTAAATGTTAATCCTTGCAACTTCTCGCAAAGGCTTGAAGAGGAACAGGATTAATTGAAGAATGCAGCAGACCCTTTTATTGAGCACAATATAGTTTGAAGACGGCACGGACTTACGGGCTTAAAGGCACCGACCACTTGCGGCGAGTTAAAAGACACGGAATACTAAATTTAAAGTTAAAGAGTAGTGCAAGAATACATAATTCAGTTTAATCTAAGAGGGTGACTCAAAACCAACACCGACAGAAAAATAATTCGGCGGCAAGAATGCGAAGCCTATATTCAAGGTTATTATTCAAGCTGGAAGAAATAGCAACGTGCCTCACAAGAGCGAAACCACGCTCTGACTAAACTTTTCGCTACCATCAATTTAAAAATGCTCGTGTTGACTCGCGTAATAGTCGCACATTTTTTGCCAAATTTTCATTGTGAAAGTTTAGGTGCGACTATGTGGGGAAATCTACTACATAATATTGCACGCTTTTGACGATTTTTCCTGCTTCAAAATGGGAGGGGGTGCCACTATTACGCCAGTAGCGGTACATCCTGGCGAGGAAACGCGAGGGCAATAAGAGATGGCAGAAAATGCCAACAAATTAAAATAACTATTAGTAAAAATAAATGAAACCCTACAAATATTAACTTAGTTAATAAATGCAGCTTTTACTTTTAGGTTAATAAATTAAAATAATTTTTCAAATAAATTCTAAACATAGTATTGATGTATCACTGCGTATAAAATTTCATGCTAATAAACCGATTATTTTTTGAGATATTAAATGCTTTGTGCTTGTAATATTAGTTTGGGATACTAATGTATAATAATACAGGCAAACTCCGAAAAAACGAATGTGAAGGAAGGAGCTAAGAAAGAATATCTCGAAGTCAGGAGTATCGTTGAAACATGACGCGTTTTACTTAAATTTTAAACAACGTATTTGTTATAAAATGTTTGTTTTCATTTACCCAGTTACCTAAACAATTTGTATTTTAAGCATTCACCAGCAGAAATATCACTTGAAAACAATTCTTTGATACAGTGAGCTTCCTTTAAAATTTTAAAACAGTCTTGTCATTTGAGTAAAATGAAAATAATACCTCCATTTGAATAGTTTAACAGATTATTTTAGTATATCGAGGAGTATTATAAGACCATAGATGAAATTTCTATGCCAGATTAACACTTCTAGTCCTGTTTTATGTTATGCTCAGTTAGAATTGATACCATTCAGTTACAGTCAGGTAGAATGCTTTAATACTGGGAAAAATTTTGCAAATTTCAAATTATGAATTTAAAATACACCTAATTTACTCGAAATTTAAAACAACTTCCATGAGAAGCATTTTCCTTATGTAGTGAAAGATAAAATATACAATCTTAAAGCACTTTTTGAAGGGGAAAACGTGTACACTTGTATTTTTAATATCTTTCCTAATATCTATATCTATTTATATAATATAAAATTTTTATCAGAAATTTATATCAATTATAGTTTGGCAAGAGTTAAATAAGCATTTTCATCGACTTTTGACAAGATTTGACAAGATTTATAAACGTGCCACATTCCTGTGAGTAAAACATTTCCTAGTTAATAGTGTCCTACAAAATAGCGTCAAGTTAAGAAGAAATTGTCATATGGGAAATGGCTTTGGGTTTTTCAAATATACCTGTGAAGTTTGGCAGTATTTTTTAACACTTAACAGTAAGTAATGGATTGGATTAAGACTGAGATGGCGACTGCTAAATGCCCAAAAAATGCATTTGTGGAGAACACTTTAAGGGAAACCGGCTGGTATTCACGTTACAAATGGGGAAAGTCATGTAAACTCCTGTGCAACTATCCCAAAACAATACTAAAAGAAATGGTGAAATAATAAACTTATAGACCGTATAAGGAGAATTAACACACGTGTGATGTAGTTTCATCTTCGAAAAACTGAAAAAGAGTCAGCATACTAATAGTGTAAATGACGCGTTGAAATTCAGTAGTGGGAGTTCAAGGTTTGAAGCAAAAGAAAAAAGATCATTTTTCAATATTTTACCGCTCTTTGTGTCCGTCAGATAGCTGTGCCTACGATTTCTTTGAACACCTGATCCAATGTAGAAAGTCGAAATTTTTGTGATCTGAGCAGTGAGAAGTGCTTGAAATAAGAATATGTGCTTTTAAATGTGCTGGTAATAGTATGCTTGATTGCGGAAACTGACACGTTTTCTTCTTCTGTTACGCATTTCTTCTGAGGCATTCAAAACATTTTGCAGAAACTACTGTAGGACCATATGCTATATGCTGGACCATAATTAGTTGTAGTTTCCTCCAATCATTGCATAAAGCAAGCGCTAAAACCATTCTTTGGCTTCCCACGCACTTTTTTTTAACACGTAAAAGCGGAAATTCTTTTCTGATTTCTTTCTTTAACCAAAAAATGTGCTAATGTAGAACTTGAAAGCTAACTTCCGTAAAGTGGAGGCTACTTGGTCTATGCTTCTCATTATTCTAGGGCAGAGTTTCTTAAATTGTGGGTCCCGTTTTAGCAATTTTAATATTTCTTTAACTTATTATAATAATTTTAAAATTACCACATAATTTTACATAATGTATTTGCAAACAGATAAAGATGAAATTACACAGACAGAGAGAGAAAAAAAAATACGAAAACGTTTCGACGCATTTTTTACAATAGTAGCGTTCCTTTTACTTTAAAAGTTAATGACCTAAAACTGCAATAGTATACATTCAAGAGCCAAAACATTATGAGCACCTGTCAATAAAGAGTTGGGCCACCTTTGGCGCGCAACACAGCTTCAACCCGCCTTGGCATGGATGACACAAGTTCTTGATAGATGGCCGGAGACAGATTGTACGAGATGTTGTAGCAACGGTCACGCAAATCCGAGATATTGCTAATTGGTGGTCTTTGACTTCTGAGCTGCCGTCCCATGACATCCCAAAAGTGTTCTATCGGATTGTGATCCTGCGAGTTAGGCGGCCAGGACATTAACTGGAAATCAGCATCATGTTTCTGGAACCACTCCAACACAATTGTAGCCTTGTGACACGGGGCGTTGTCCTGTTGGAACATTCCATTTCCAGCTGGAAAACAGAGGCCATGTAAGGGTGCAACTGGTCCGCAATGATGCTCAGATACCCTGTAGCATTCATGGTCTGCTCTACCACAACCACGGGTCCCAGAGACGCCCAAGAGAACGTCCTCCAGAGCATATTACCGCCACCACCGGCCTGTGTATGACCTACTGTGCATCGAGGAGCAACTGTTCGCCTGGAAAATGGCGTATCCTCATACGGCCATCGGCGAGATGAATGACAAACAGTGATTCATCTGAGCAGGCAGCTCTCTCAATCCATGGACAGGCAATCCATGGACCAGTCGCGATTTTCCCGGGCCCAGCGCAGGCGCAGTTGGCGATGACGCTTGGTCCACAAAGGCACACGAGTGGGACGTTTGCTGCGTAGCCCCATATCCAGCAGTGTCCGTTGAACAGTGTGCTCCGATACTTTTCTACTTGGCCCTGCATTGTATTCGGCTGTCAGCTGAGCCACTGTCTGGCTCCGGTTTTGCTTCACCATGCGAGACAGTCTCCGATGACCTTCTTCTTTGATAGCGTGTGGACGTCCAACACCATGTCGCCTACTGCTGGTTTCACCGTCATTCATCCACTTTTCATACGTACTAACAACTGTAGATCGCGAACAACCCACGATGCATGCAGTTTCGGAATACTTGTTCCGAGCCTTCGAGCCATTACAATCTGCTCTCGATCAAAGTCGCTTAGATCCGCAGCCTTTCCCATCACACACAGAAGTAAGTGAAAGAATGATTCTTCAGACTCTCCAGCAGCAGTTAAATACCACTTCCACCTGATCACGTGCCTTCCACGTCATCCAGACGCGTTCATCGCAAAATGTAGAGCTGGTCATAATGTTTTGGCTCTTGAGTGTATAATAATACAATGATGAAACTGACCGTTTCACTCACGCGTGTGTCGAATTTTCCCCAAAATTTTCTTTAATATTATGCGGTCCTCAAACCAAAAAGTTTAAGAAACCTTGTTCTAGAGGAAAAAGATAATAAGAAATTGTCTCTTCTTTGAAGCGTTGATAGCTAGAAAAAATTTTCTATCTTTCAGTGTGCTGGTAATTAATCAGACGAATCATTTTTTCCTTTTCAAACCAAGGAAGAATTTAAAATTAAAAAAAAATAACCTTAGCTTGGTTTAGATTTTGAATAAAACTGACAATTTATTTTTAATTTTTCAATAATCTAGACGCTTTTTCCACTTTTTAATTTGGATGACAAACTAATCTCACTTTTTAGTCTAATTTGAAAGTTCCCACGAGTGTGTTTTCTCTTTTAATTTAAAGAGGTATTGCTTATTTTTACATATTTAACGGATAAAATAATGTTTATTTTGGATTTATAACAATTTCACTTTTAAGAGTATAATTCTAACAATATTACGATACCTCGAAAATTAATATTTCATTGCCAATTAAACATTTAAAAAAATCATGCTCTACCAATTCACTCTCAAAAGCAGATTTTTCTTTTCTTCTCCTGACACAAAATTTCTGCACAGATTAAAAAAAGAAAAAAAGAAAGCGTTTTAGATTTTATATTACGCGCAAAGTGGCGTTTTATTTATGGGAGATTCAAAACGGGATTTAAAAAGTGGTACAGACATTAAAAGTCATTCGACGCAAAATACAGTTAGACATTGTAACGTCTTTGCGTTGCTACGCTACCAATATAATACCAGTGAGAAATGTAAAGAAACCTCGCGCATAAAATACCCGTGTTTGAAGATGCACGCGATGTTAAGGTTAATGGACGCTTTGATATCGTTGAGTTTGTTAATCCAAAATTCGCTAAAGTTTTACAAAATATGAAATAGATAATAGAACAAATTCCAAATTTGGGCTTCCAGATGCCCATATTCGAGTGGAGGACTACGTTATTCAGAATTTGACGGCTCTAGGTACCGTTGTTTTTTCATAATGCGAGAAACATATATACATTCATAGCATGCAGATTCTTCTTTATTTAATTTCTTTAAATATAATGCAGGGCTAGTGGCAACAATTTGAAAAGTGATTCAGAATTTTATAGTGAGCCAAAGCAAAATGCCAAAGCCCTTCTGGCAATAGCCCTTCCGGGCATATTGCCCTTTTAGGCTAATAAAATTTTAAATAAATGTACTTTTCGTTAAACTATGTAATGATATATATGATATTAATATTTAAATAAAATACAAACCTTGAAATGCAAAAACGTAAGATACCACGCAAACGAAGACGAATTTCCTAAGAATATTTATAAACGGCAATTCAGATCCAGAAAAGAAACACATGGGACAGCTCCTTAAGTAAAAATAAAGAGATAAAAGTAAGAAAGGATTATCAATGAGTCAGATAAGATTGATCAGAATATTGAATGTTAAAGGCCAAGCTACTCATAGTTCATTCGAGCAATCTGCTATATTTTCAAGGGCGAATGAAATAAGATAAATGTTTTTGAATTCAAGGAAGAGAATGAGAACTGAAAATGAAAAACTTTGAAACAAGAAAAAACTCAAAAAACGTTTTCATGAACTCAAATTTTCAAGAAAATGAGAAGACGGAGTCATGGGAGACAACTGGAAAAAATTTTGAAATCTCAAGATTTAAAAATAAAAAAAAGAAAAACTACATAAAAATAATACTTCTTTCATGGAATCTTCTTAATTTCGGTTAATGGAAGTTTTTATCTGTATTTTTTTTTTCAAAGGGACAAACAAAAATATAACCAAATAATACGAAACCAAAAAATATCAAAATATTAAAAAATGTATATTACTGGTGGAATAAAATTAGTTATGCAGTGGAAAGGTTAAAAGATTTGATCTTCATGGTGAAGTGTTGTTTTAGCTACAGCTTCTCATTATAATTTCTTATATATATATGCGGCTTAAGTGTCTGTTTGTCGCCGATAGTTTATTGGTTTCTTACGTAACTGTACTAGCCAATGGGGTGAAGTTGCTACGGCAATCCATATACACTGATACCATACATGCAGTTATCATTGATTTAATTAAATTATCACGGTATTTAAGAACATTTAAATATTTTTAATTCATAAAATTGTTGCTTATTATGAACTTAATTATATTTACATATGAATTACCATAGAAACTTGCAAGCCGTTGATAAATTGAAGGAGACGAAACCAACTAACGAGTTGTGCCTAGTACATCTCATCAGGTAGGTTTACCCCAACTCCTATGCTAAATATCCTTTCGCGTAAAGAGTTAAAAATTTTGTCCGATTTTATTCCGACATTGTATTTTAAACTGAATTTTCAGCTGAACGCAAATTGTGCGTGTCAGGGGGAACGTGAACAATTGTTTGCTTTAGCAATCATCTGTTTTTGAAATGGTTTACAACTGAACGCAAGAGTTCGTGAGTTCCTGCTCAAGAGTTAGTGAAATAACGGACGTAAAATTAAAAGTAATTGATGGTCCTCTGCAAGGCGAGCTTAAAATTGATGGAAAGATCTACAACGCGGATGGAACGAGACGGCTCCCGACCTAATGCGACCTAATAGGCGCCAAACGGGATTAAGTGCCGCCCTGCCCTTGATCAATTGACAATGTTGCGGAACCACAGAGCAAGGGCAGACAAGGCGGTAGCAGTACGGTCCCTGCCGAGCTTTACCGTGGCCTTCGAGATAACATGGCCTGGTTAGCTGCGAGGCCTACGTGATAGGCCTCGGGTTAGCTGCGAGTGACGTCACGAAAGGCGTCCAATCCTTCCGTGACTTCCTTCGCTTCAGATTTGAATGCGAGCGTTTCGTTCGATGTTTAGAGTGTTTTGTTTTTAATAATGCATAATAATTAAATTTTCAGAGACTTGACGGGAAAACGTATATAAAAGGTCGTATATTCCTTTGCAGTTAAGATTAATAACTTAATAAATATTGTTTTTTAAGAAATATTCACGAAATTTTCTATGCCATGTTTTAGGTTATTTTGTGCATTTTTTTTTACACTGTATTGTAATACGTAATTTGTTAGGATACACTCAAAAAAGAAGGTTTTGAAATAAGTAAATAAAAAGGCTGTTATTTTATTAACATAAAAATGTCTTTACAGTTTGAGAAGGAGAGGAATGAAAGGAATGAAAAGATTTAGAAATAATTCACTAACAAAAGTAAATATAATTTAGCAAATTAAAAGACATAAAAAATTATTTTTCCTTAAAACTATAAATATTTCAGAGCTTCCAAATATTATGCAAATGTATTTTTTATTCATTTAAAATACTGTCTAATAAAATGAACAGCAGATCAAAAGCCACAGAAAAAATTTAAATCTCAAAACTTTGTAAATTAAATAAATTACAATTTTGCTGCAACATTACAGATAACGAATAATTTTCACATATTTATATGTTATCTATAGCAATAATTATAATAATATTTACTTCATTTAATAATATTTACATTGTTACTTATATGTAGATGCATAAGTAAATAATATATTTACAAATAAAAGCCATCCATATAATGTTTCACAAAAGCGTAAAATCAATAAATTTGCCAACGAAAACCTCAAAACAACTATACATAGAACAAACCATCATTTCTGTCTAATTAGCAAAGACTGTGCAAGTTGTACTAGTATACTGAAGCAATAATTAATCGCAATTGATAATTTATTTTGAAAATTATGTGAAGTATTATCTAATAATAAGGAAACAGCAAAAAAGATTAATAAATTTAAATGTAAAAGATACATTATTGAAAATATATTTGAATTGCATCATATTTAGTACACTATTAAAAAAAAATATAATACAATGTCATTTACATACCACTCATATCTTTTCATCACGTATTCTTGACTTTTTTAATTTTCCTTTCATCGCATTTTTGTATGCATATTATTTTGAAGAACTTTAGTATAATTGTTTAAAACAAATATTTGAAATGGTGCTCATTATTTTTTTTTAATCTGCTAGAAAAAGGTATTCCACACATTAAACAAGTTTCATGAACATCAAACATGTTAATGTTTTCTACATATATCTCGGTAAGTTTGACCAGTAAAAGAATGTTGTTTTGTTTTAGAATTTAGAAATAAAATTTCGTAATCAGGAGATAAAAGTTTCTGAAATATTAAGAAGCACACAAATATAATATTTAGATTGATTATTTAATTCACAACAAATACAATATTTGAAGATGGAAGTTTTAAAACCACCTCGGTTAATAAGGCTTAAATAGTTTCTGTACATCACTTCATTGCTATCTGCGTGAATTTCATGATTTTCATTATCGCAAATCAAACTCTTATCAGTAAAAAATAATGACTTACATGACAGTCAATTTTCAATTTAAACGCACAGTAGCCAGACACATACGTTGGGATTTCAGCTTCATTCACTGAATCAATACCAATATCATTTAGAATTCCTATAAATGAAGAATAGTCGATTTCGTCAAAAGGCTCTACTGCACAGACATCAGATATCAACACTTTTAGCTGAACTTTTCCAAATCTATTGGAATGTAAATGAAGAATCGATTTTATTCTCAATTTTCTCTCCGATTCAAGAATTTTTTGTAGACGTAAGAAAAGATCCTCCTGACACTTGTCGATATGAAGAAAACCTGGATTCTAGATTATCTGCTTGAAATTTGTCTGTAAGTATATATATTGTGCCTCTGAACGAAAAATGTTTTATTATAAGAACCATTGGGGATGTTGTGTGAGTTAAAGCAAAGAAAGTTTCTTCACTTAAGCTACCACATCTGGGTTTTTGATTCAGCTTTTTCCATTCTTTCAACCAGTTCGAGAATGTTTCCATGAAAGTTAATCTTTCGTCATTTACTGATAGAAATGGTTCACAGTTGTGATTTCGGAGTCTAAATCCTTTCTTCGGATGATTTACGTTCATTATGTCTCACCATTTCTTTATTAGTTTTAAAAATGATCCTGTATCGTCCCAGTTAAGAAAAGAAGAATACTGACTGGCACACATCTGTAAAGCTGCAGAAGTACTTTCATGAAAAATGTTCAGAGCAAGTTGAACATTTTGACGATCGAAGTTTGAGGGGTATAATGTTTTAAAATTTAATCGATGGCGCGTATCTTATAATGGATTCTTTTTCAATGCTAAACATTTTCCTCAAGAATGAAAATTTAGGAGAAACTGTCTTGTAAAAATCATTCGAGAAAGTCGTTCAAGTCGGGGCACACAAAAGTTTTCTCATCATCAGTTTGGTTTATCCAATTATTTCTGATCGACTTGATACTGATTGAGTAATAAATGCACAGAATCAAAAAGGAGAAATAAATCCTTTGATTCATTGACTGGATTTTTTATATGCCCAGATGCGAATCCTTTGCTAAGTTTCTGAAACATATTGCGATTTATTCGGTTATTATCTGATATAATGCACAAAACAGTAAAACCTGCATCTTCTAATAACTGCAGATAACTTTTAAAATCAAACTATGAAGATCCATTGCAGTCATTTTACTCACTGGTACTAATGCAATGATGTCTTTGTAATCTGATAATAAGGAAGAAATCATGAAGGATTGAACAGACGTTGCTTCAATACCGTTCAAAATTTTCAGCAAAACCAATTAATGCTTTTCCTTTATATGTCACCTTTTTTTTTCACATGAACTTCATCAATCAATAGATTCACCAGTTTTTCATGTTCCAGTAGTTTTTTAGCTTTACCTTTTACATATCTGCTATTAGCTTCACTACTTGTCGATCCATCAAGCTTTAACAGGCCAAGGAGTTTTCGGAGATGATCAATGGATGGAAGGCAGATTAGTTGACTGTTGTAAAGGCAACGATAAGAAGCAGCTGATTTGATATATAATGAGTATGCAAAGACCAAAATGTCACTACTATACCTCCTAGCCATTTTACTTTTATTGCACATCATCATTTGTTCTAAAATAAAATGTTCTGTTCCGTAAGTAAAATTCTCAGGTGATTTTTCTTCAATATGTGCTTCCTAGTTATATACTGATAAGTCATAGTTCGATTTTTTAATGTCTTTAACTACCATTCCTTTGGCATAATTATAAATGCTTTCAAATTCAACTCCATAAAGTAAGTTTATTATTTTCATTTAATACATTTTTAAATATTTCCATTCCAACAACTTCATCTCCTATATACAGAGTCGTAGCTAGGGTTTTCAGCGCCAGGGAAACTGAAGATTTACGCCCCTACTGCTTGCCAGGATGGAAAACATTTAATTCTAAAATATCGTAACATCAGATTGGCGCCCCTTCCATCTGCGCCCAGGACAGATGCCCCCTTGAGCTACGCCCTGCCTATATAAACTGCTATATCCATATGAATGAAGTGATACAAAGATACTAAGATACTTTTCTCACTTTTAGGATGTGGATGAAAACTGAGCAATAAAATATAAATACCAGCAACAGATTTGTGTTAAAATAATATTTGAAGTATCTGAAATATTTAATTTATTCGGTACTATAGAAGAAAAATCCTCAAATGATGCTATTTTGTCCTTTCTCAAAAATTCATTAAAAATATGCTTTCTCCATTCTTAGCTCTTTTTTCCTCCCTGCTCATCCTCTGAAGAGTTGGACTTTCAGATAAATATTTAGGACAGCCAGAAAAAATGCATGGGTAAGCATCGCTATTTAATTTAGGATGCCCTCTACACATCTGAATAAAAGTACCTTCGTTTGTTGGTAAATAATCATAGCGAATAATATCATCTTTTCGAAAATGTTTTCACACACAACGCTGCGATCACTTGGAATAAAATTTTTCCTTGGAATTTTTTTGATCCATAAATCCGTTTTACTGTATCTTTTGGAAATTTGAATACTGATACATATTCATTCGGTGCCATCGTAATTGGATTTGCATGCTGGAACGCAACATCGTGCAGGCATGTATGATGAAGACAGCTCTACATAGACGTCGATCGTTATTCTTGTTAACAAATAAGTTAACTAGTAATCTCAATTTAAAAAACGAAAATATCCTTAACAACATTACTCAAATTTAGCAATAAAAAAGACACGAATAATAAAAAAACCACAACACGCTATCAACGTAATAAGAAGTCTTCGCTTGCAGTGTCCACACAATGCAGCGCGAAGGGTGAAAGTTCAGACGCCTTACGTGACGTCAAATCACGTGATTCTGCAGCTGACCAGGCCATCTAATCTCGAAGGCCACGGCTTTACTCTGTCCTGAGAGCCCTCAGGCCTTCTGTGAAGTCTGTTATTATGCCCCCGTGGTTGAGATCCTAACTAGTACTTCCCAGGCGTACAGATCCTAAAACCAGTACTTCCCAGGCGTTCCCCTGAGTCAACCCCCGGAGGGGGGAACTGGAAAGATCTACACAAGAAATGTTGTGTACAAAGATATCTTTGACATGTGAATTAACATTTTATTATTTAAATCACCTTTACTTATTGAGCTAGCGGTGGCTCTTAAGAAATGTACCGCCAGTGGTTTCCTTCATTGTACTCTACTTTAAGCAAGTAGAAGGGGGAAACTCCGTGGGACAGTAAGCAAAGGGACGTCCTCACCGCCTGCCCTGGGCAATTCAGTTTGAATTAGCAGACATCTTTGCACAAATCCTTTTAATTACAATTTATAATATCTAGAACAGTGGTCGTTTCGTATGACCGCCGGGCGTTCTAGTCTCTACATAATCATCCCTTACATCAATGCACTTGCACTCTGTGTTGCAGTTTGCTTGCAACCATCTTACAGAAGGATTTACTCTCACACTAAATAACAGCCTCAGTGATCTCAATGCAGGATGATTCCTTTCTCATCTTTCCCTAACCGCATTTCCTTCATAGCGTCAGATCATAATATTTGTTGTTGATAGTGGAGTCTTTTCTCCCGAAATGAATCAAAACTAACCTTTCTTCATCTTAAAACATTGTTGCCATCCCTTTGTTAGCGCATGCAGCCACTTTGAGGTTTTTAGGTAACAGTGATAAGGTTGTGGCGGCTTTGATGGGGTTGATTCTTTATTTCAGGTTCGAAATGGCGGACTCGCATCTCGACCAATGTCTCCAACGCTCCTTGAATACTGCTTTAGTTCGACCGTCTCAAACGCAACCTTGGCTGGCATTCTGCCAAAACACATATATTCGTCCATAAGGAGGGTTATTACTGCTACGACGTTAAACGTCATGTGAAAGTCTTCTCTTCTTCGGAAAGAGAGAATTTATATGCTTGAGGGAAAGAAATTCCCCATCCTTCCACCCATGGAGGTAAGAAAGGAAGGAGTGGTCAAACCGGCATTAGAAGTGAAGCACTGCTCCGAAGCTTCGGTCACCAGATGGGGTGTTTTTTGTTTACATTCAGAAGCTCGCTTGACAGCGCTCTGATAGTATTTCGACACACGACAGTTCCTCACAAATCGAAAAACGGGACACTTCCGCGTAAAAGAAACATTCCTAGTATGATGGATAATACCAATTTGTATAGTTAGCGACATTTACGAAAAAATAACATCTTGGTTATTTTTCGATAACTAACAACAGCGATTTTGATTATGAATTTGTTTTATAAAATTCTAAGCCGTTGAACTACAAAAATATAGATTTTAGCAAAACAGTTATGCTTAAAGAATGAAAAATACCTCACTGTACCTTGTATACATTTACCTCACTGTACATTGTATACATTTTTCGATACCCTTAATACACTATTCGCTACTTTTATTTTATGTTCCAAACGACAAAATGTTTTAAATAAAATAAATTTTTTTCACAACCACATATTATTGTAACATGTACTTTTTAAAATTAGTGTAAATTAATTTAATCGAAAAATATGGTGAATGCACAGAAATTAAAGATTTCCACAT